TTCATTTAGCACTTTCCTGTGAGCAGCTAAGGCTGTGTTGTTTTGCACAGTCTTTGGTCTTTACTCTGGCACTTTTTAAAATGCCTGTGGTTTTTAAACTGTTTGAAAGACATAGGATGGAATTCTGTTAGTGTCATGTGGATGTGTAATTTTTCCCTGGAGGATGGAGAGTGGAGTGATGTTAATAGAGAAGTGTCCAGATGTTCCTACAGCTGGATGCACAGCAACAAGACAATATTATCTGAGCTTCCGGGGGTGGGGGTGGGGATGCATTCCTTCAGATGATTTTTATATTTATATATTTATTGAATTTATACTTTGACTTTCTCTCAAGGGGGCATCCAAGGTATCTTACCCTAATTTAAAACAAGATTAAATTTAAAATGTATGCCAGAATCCTATCTGATGTGTTATGTAATTTCACATATAGCTAGCTATGTAGCAGAGGGACTAAGAAACCTTGTTACTGAATTGCCAAGGAGTGTAATGGGACACCAGCAAGAGCACCCAATGCACATTGGGACTGATGCACATCAGTGTATGATGCAGATCATGACAGTTAAAGTGGAATCATAGTTCTAGAATTATGTAGTGTGAAAGGGTCAAGGAATAACTTAACCGCAATGATACAAACTTGGTAATCTCAAGGTGTGTGTGTATGTGCCATGCAAAGTGATGCTCAAAATTCTACAAGAAAGACTTTTACCATATATGGAGAAGGAAATGCCAGATGTCCAAGCTTGGTTCAGGAAAGAAAGAGGAACTGGGATCCTATTGCAAACCTATGTTGGAAAATGGAGCACAACAAAGAATTTCAAAGAAAATCAGCTGTGCTTTATAGATTATAGCAGAGCCTTTCAATGTGTAGATGATGAAAAACCTAGGAATGTTCTTAATGAAATGAATGTCCCACAACATTTAATTGTCCTGATGCATCATAATCTGTACTCAGGACCTTAAGCTACTGTTAGGACAGAGTATGGAGACACAGAATGGTTTCCAATTGGCAAGGGGGTCAGGTAAGTCTGCATTTTATCATCCTATCTGTTTAACTTGTAAGATTAACATATCATACATTAAGTAGGATTAGACTCTCAGGAAGAAGGCTTGAAAATTGAATGAAGGAACAATTTAAGTAAGATATGCAGATGACACCATACTACTAGCGGAATATAGCAAAAACTTGGAATGATTACTGAAAAAAGTCAAGGAAGAAAATACAAAGGCAGGTTTACAGATGAACATTAAGAAAACAAAAATAATGACCACAGATGATTTACATAACTTTAAAGAAGATAATTAAGACATTGAAGTAGTTCAGGATTTTCTATACCTTGGCTCAATCAGAATGAAGACTGCAGCCAAGAAATCAGAAGAAGGGTAGGATATGGAAAAGCAGCTATGAAGGAACTGGACAAGATCCTGAAGTGTCAAGATATGTCATTGAATACTAAAGTTAGGATTG